GTGGCTATAAATGATGAGGAGGAAACAGCCCATCAGCCCTCGGTTCTGATCCTGATCCCCAGTCCCGTGTCTGCCCTCCTCCTCCTCCGTGTTGTGGGATCACACACCATGAATCACCTTTGGGATCTATTTTTTTGAAGTTCCTGTACCGCCTTCTTAATCACTCATTCCCCACCCCCCTTTTTTCTCTGGTAATGCCACTGCAGACGTGCCCATGGACTTCCTGACCCAGACCCTGACGCCATCCCTGTCCCCACTTCCCATTTCCAACAACCCACTTGGCTGAGCTCCCCCTCCCAGATGAAAGGAAGCGAGAGTGGAGTTTGTAAGAGCCAGAAACCTGTCCCCCCCAAACCCCACCTCCTTCCCCATCCCAGGAGTGAACCCTCATCCCACCACTCAGAGAATCAATTACTTTCTTAAGGGAAAATCCATATTTGATTGATTTTTTTCGCTGCTTTAGCCCTGGGATGAATCCCTGGTGTAACTGGGATGTTCCCAGCAGTCAGACTGGTCGGTTTTCTCACTTTTTGAATCCCTCACTCTTGCATCACTGGCTGTCGAGCCGCTCAGGGTTGCACAAGCTCTTTCCTCTGCCACTTCAAAAAGCTGCTGGTTTGATGTTCCCGTTTCCTTCTGTGCACTGGGGGGCTTTTGTGGRRAAAAAAAAAAAAAAAAAAAGGATCTGTGTAAAGCAGGGAGCATCCTCTGGTAAATCTGCTCCATCCCAGAGTCCCAGGTGGCRGCTGGAGCTGCGYTRAYCCTGGGGACACCCACGGTGCTGGGACGGTGCTGATTTGCATCCAGAGGGAGCAAACCCACACCTGCAGCTGGAGCAGAGCTGGAGCTTGGCAAGGAAAKGATCCACCCAGCAACCGCCCAGCACCGCAGCCACCTCTGCAGCGAGGCTCTGAAGGCTGCTCCTTGGAGTAAGCCAGGAGCAGAAATCATTCCCAGGTGGAAAAACCAGTGACAGCTTCCCTGTCCCAACTTGCCCCCTCCTCTCCCTGCCTGTTACAAACAGAGACAGAAAGACAGGATGGATTTTGGATTGTTGGGGTCCACACTTCAGCTTTCCAGGATGTTTAGCATGAATTTAAGCTAATTTCCCATTTCCCATCCTCCTTTCACCTTTCCTGTCAATCCCATTGTGCCTGTCTGGGGACAGCCAAGGGGCTGAGCAGCTACCACTGATCCAAATCCCAGCACCCAGCTCCACAGAGCGGGGATGGGTGATTGCAAAATCCTCCTGCAGCGTGTGGCAGCCTCCAGCCAAACATGCCCAAACATATTTCCCAGCTGCTCTGGGCAGTGGGAAGCTGCTGGTCCGGCTGGAAAAARCAGGAGTGGTCTGCACACCAAAGGTCCTCCCCAGCACCCCTGGCACCTGCTGGCTCCAGGGGCTTTTGGGGAGACCTGGCATTCCCAAGGGATCGCTTTAACATGGCCTTTGTCACTCGGAGTTGTGCTGTCACCTTGTTGTGTTGTGTTTGTGTCCTTGTGCCCGAGCTGTGAGATCTGGGCTGGGAGTGTCTGTAGGGCACGGCCCCTGTGCCCCGGGTGGGCTGAGTCCGAGGGCATCCCCKCTCCTGCCGCAGGGCAGGGTTGGACCTGTTGAAAATGATACAAAATTTAAATATATTTTAACCAGGCTCAGGGCAGGTGTCTTCCAGCCCCGCAGAGTAACCCCAGCAGAAGCTGCCCTGGTTTCAGACCCTTCCTGCCTGTGGACTCGGATCCATTTTCCATCTAAGCCACAGTTCCCCCCCAAATCCTTGCCACAGGTTCCTGCAGGACATGCACAGACTTGTTCCTGCTCCTCATCCCTGCCTGGACATCTGCAGGACTCAGAGCAGCAGATCCTGCTCCGAACGCTTTTTTCCACCCACAGTGGGTGCCGGGGTTCAGCTGGTGGAGCAGAGCCAGAGCCGGGGGAGAAAACGCAGTTGGAGAGAGGCCGGGGGCGGGCTGGGATGGGTTGGGCAGCGCCCGGGGGCCAGGGGAGCATCATCCCGGTGAGGCTCTGAGGTTGGCACCCCGCAGGGCTGAGCCACCCCTTTCTTCATCCATTAATCCCCATCCCACAGTGCCCCGGTGGGTGGGACAGGACCCCCTCCATCCAGCTAAACCCCGGCATGCCCTGGCTGGAATGGGGCACCCCATACCCACTGCTGAGTGACCCCTGTACCCTCTAACCAGGAGGTCCCTGCCTTCCCTCCTCGGGAGCTCTCCCTGCCCCCAGCTCCCCTGCAGGAAGGAGATCCCCTCATCCCTTACTGGGGAGTCCTGAATCCCCAAAGAAAGGGGGTCCCTGTATCTCCTAACAGGGGGATTCCGTGTGTTCCCTGATGGGGGAGATCCCTGCACCTCCCAGGAAGGAGGGCTCTGTATCTCCTGGCTGAGGTTTCCCTGTGCTCCCTGATGCCGGGTCCTTGCACCCCCCGGGGAATGGGGACCCTCTATCTCCCAACTGGGGCTTCCTGTAGTCCCTGAGACAGGTCCCGCTCTCTCCAAGGAAGGAGATCCCGATGCCCACTGCCCCGGGCCGCCCGCTCTACTCTGGCACCGCGGAGATTCCCGGGACCAAGAACCGGGATGGCAGAGGAGGAGCAGGAGGCACACACAGGATCGGGAACTGG